TGTAAATCTATTGTATCTGTGCATGTAGTTTTAATACGTTGTATTTGATTAATTATAGTATTGTTAATTACTTTTTTGGATATGTTGGAGTTCCAATTTATTTTGTTAGTATTGAAATTGAAGTTTCTTGTTTTGTCAAAAAGTAAATTTTTTTTGTAGTTAATGATTTGAAGATCTAGAAAGTCTATGCTATTTATTTTGTGAATTATTAGTTTTATTAAGTTTAAGACAATTCGGATAAATCTCGGAGTTTTCAATTTTTTACCAAAATTATTAATTGTAATAAGGTCATCAATATATCTGTAGGTGTGTTTGTAGTAATTTAACTCTTGTGGTTGTAGATTTTTTTTGGAAGTTAAATTCTTTGACAAATAAAAAGATATTACAGATCGAGGTGCTGGAATGTAAGCCCATTGGCAATCCTCTGACTTGTTTTTAAAAAGTTTGATTTTGAAACTTGATGTAGTTATGAAAAAGTGTGCATTTTAGGTAGGTTTTCCCATTTGTCAAGAGTCATGATATTGAGTATATTAGGGAAAGTTTTGGTTAGATCAAGTAGACTGGTATAGATTTCTTCTAGAGGAAGTGAGGTATATAAGTTTTCAAAATCATAGCATTAATGTTTTGGATGTTAATGGTTTGAATGGTATTAATGACAGGAGTGTTATTATGAATGATCCGGATTAGTTATGATTAGTGTTACAATCATTGAAAATAAATTTACAGATTTTATTAAGTTGAATTGAAAAAATAATAGTCTACATTTTTCTTGTAATTTATTAGTTCCATTAGCTATAAATCTAAATTTTAATTGGTGTTTTATGGAATTTGGGAATCGCATAAAGATTAGTAAATCTCTGTTGTAGTTTGCATTGAAAGTAATATTGAGTTTCTTATGAAAAGTTTTAATCCTGTTTATTATAGATGTTTCTGTAAGGTTGGCTAATTGATAAGTAGTTGCGTTGAGAAGTTCTTTATGAATAATTCTCAGTGTAGAATTGTTTTCATATAATGCTAAGTTATTAGTTGCTTTATCTATTTTTGTAATAGTAAAAAGCTGTTTTAATTTTTTAATATCTGATGTAAGTTGCGACCAATTCAGTGTACTTTTAAACTTGAGGTGACTGATTTCGGTGGATATGCGTTGAAGAATTTTAGCTTTCCATTTTAAGAAGGTATCTATGGGTAAATTCAGTTGATAGCTTGCTTTAACTATAAACTTTCGTTGATGTGTTTTTCGAAAGTCTTGTAACACTAATTTGTAGTCATGTTTCTGACTGGTCTAAATTTTGTACCATAACTCATTAGTGTTTTTAGTTGATGGTTTTGTATGATATTCAGGTTGCCAGTAATTATGTGCTTGCTGGTGATGAGAATCTACGTAATTGCTGTAAATTGGTGTCTTACAATGTCATTCTGCAGTTTCATCTATTTCATGGTGGTTAGTAAGCAAGTTGCTTAAGGTCCTTTGATATTTAAATGCAATCATTGGTATTGTGTCAACTGCGGGGAAGTAATCTTTACAATCTCTGATGATTCTTGAGAAATGAATATTGTCAAACTGCGGATGCAGAAAATTGACTTTAAAATAAATTTTTGCGTTGAGTGAGACTATTAGAGAGTCTGAAAAGACTAAAATCAAGAATCATGTCTTTAATGATTTGTATGTCGTCGTAGCTTTCTTGAATGAATTTTTTTAGTTTGATAAGGAATTTATTAGTACAGGAGTGTAACCAGTTGAGAAGTTTCTTGGGAAAGCAGTCTGAGTCAAAAAAACATTTCAATTGTTTTTTCAATGCAAGTGTATCCAAAGTGGATAAAAATCTTCGCATTATTTTTTATTTGCTTCCTCTTTTTTCCTCTCTGCGTTTTGTTGCTGTAGAGTTTAAATTGGCTGAAAATAGACTTCTTAGAAGTATCTCTATGACTATGTATATAAGTGTTAAGTCCATATGGATAAAGTGAACGTTGTTTTAGTATATAGAGAGATTCCTGAAAAATTCGTGTTTTGTGATTGGGTATTATATCTAGTATCTGAAGTTGAATAGAGTTGAAGTCATGGTGTTTAAAGTGTTTCTAATTCTGCTGTATTAAGTTGTGATGGTGTACTTATTTTAATGCTATTTTTTTGTGCGTTGAATTTTTGATTTGAGCTCTATGGTTATTGATTCGAAAGTTAAGATTGTTTTTTAGTCTGTCCTATATATTTTAATATGTCAAGTACCGCATGTAATCATGTAAAATACAGTTAAATGTTTTTCATAGAAATTGTTTTTTTGGGTTTACCTGTAGCAGGCATGGCGTTAAATTTTCAAGTTTGTCATCTAGTGGAATGACATTTAGTGATTTCAATATGAGTTAAACTAGCAAGATATAAAAGTAAGGAGGCTGCTAACCTTCAATACAGTAAAGTTTTGTATAAGAAATTTAAAACTTAAAAAGGAATGGAGATAATATATAAAGTGGGTACATTAAGGTAAGAGATAAATAGCGCTAATAGCTGCTATTTAGCATATCAAATGTTGTATGATCTTAAATCCATTTAGTGCGAAATACAAGTTATTATTAATTGCGCAATTGCTGCAAAGTTAGTTAATAATAATTTATTTCCTAAACAGTATTGATTAATTGATTATATTATCTCCTAAGTTTAATTAAAGTAGAATTATTTTAAAAGTGTGAATCCATACTGGTAAGTTTATATTTGAAAGATGTTTTGAAGTAATTTAGAAAGCAAAATGTTAATAATGGTTTTAACGGGGACTGGAGTTAAATCATCACGAAGAATAAATATTTCAATTGTAAAAGGAAAAATTAAAACATGTAATCATTGTCATTGATCGGAAATTAGTTGACTTTTCAAGGGGAACAAACCGACTCCCGTTCAATGAACAATAATTGATAAAAATACGTAAATACGAAAGTGTTTCGTCTTTACTCGAGTTATAAGTTAAAGCCAAACCGTCAATTCTAGTCAGGCCAAATATTTCCGCGAATAGTAGGAATTATGAACTAATGCTGATACTAATTCAGAAGTCAAACAACAAAAATCAGCGTTATATTTACCAAATTTTCACAGGACTAGTTTCGATGGTTTTACCGAACCACCATCTTCAGCTGCAAAACCGCAAATGCTGATACTCAAAGAACTTATTCTCATGAAGCATTTTAGTCAATTCAATTTTGAATAAAAATCAATTACTGTAGAGAAATCCTGTAAAACTCGAGTAACCGTCCCCGACACTTTCATCTTTATGCATTTGAGTACTATATTATTTGTAGAAATTAAACATTGGAAATTGTCATTATGAAATCGAATTCCAAGTAAAGTTGAAATAAACATAGAAGATTATAAAAAAGATAAATAATGCAAACTTTGTAAAAACAAATCAAAGAATATATAAAATAATATAGAAAATAATATAAATAGATCAGTGATGTAAAACATAAAAATAAAAATATAAATAAAAGTAAAAAAAAATCCTAAAAATAAGTAAATAAATATAAAAATGGAAAATAAAAAAAATTAATAAAAATTTCTATGTCAAGTCATAATGTTGAGAGAAATATGGCCGCCGAGGATTCACTTTCTCAGTTGAACCCTCCCTCCTTCTAATCTAAACTCGTTGTTTGCAGTCCTCAGTTTTCGAACCTCCACGCTAGACAACAATCGGAAACCGACCATTCATTAGACTAGGATAGGATTCTACCCAGGCGTCCAAGAAAACTGAACTTTGTTCATGAAGTCAGTTTTCGAAATTAAATCATGTTCATTTTATAAATATTTTTTTCTTTAGTGATACTATTTATAAAAGATCTGGCGAATATTGTCTTGTAATATTAGTTTTATAGTTATTAAATAAAATTTAAATAATTTTAGCTTCTGCTTCTGTGTTCTTACTAAAGCCTCGTTTCCCAGGTACCCAGGTGTTACACCGTTCAAGACCTGACAGTGGAAATCTGTCTTGTTCAAATTTTTCTAAATGTTTCTATGAAACGTGATCTTTTCTAAGGGGTCTAGTCTGGACACCGGTCGAAATTCATGTCGGAAAACCAGTCGGGACCTGCACACCAATCGCCGTAAGGAACCAACTCCAAAACTATCTCATAAATCTGGAAAAATGGCTCATCCTTTGCATTAAAATTAACGTTGTTAAAACCTATATCAAACGCTTAGTGGTCAACTTCTTTCACTCAGTACAGTCTCAGAGTAATAGCCTTATTTGCACTCTCAGACACTCCCCTCACCCTAGGGAAAAACAGCATGATCCCCGTGACATGCTACCTACATAACAAATAAAATCAAAATTAATTCATTCACACTTAATTGACTTTGTGGTTTCACCCGCAGTCTCATCTTGTAACGTCACTGGCCTCACCCGTGACCTTCGAGAGGGAGAGGGAAGGTCCCTCTCGAAGGTCACGCCTCACCCCCCATTCGCCGCCGCTAGAACTACTAGAGATAATTACAACCTTAATTGACTCATTCACTCTTAACTGACTCTGCGGCCTGCCACCTGCGGCTACATCTTATAACGACACTGAACTTACCTCCCTCCTTTTTCGCAGCCGCTAGCCCGGACCTGACTCTCTTTTTCCGCCTCCCACACCTCCTTCCACTCTACTCTTTCTCCTCATCCCTAATTCTTATCAGAAGTTGAGTAAAAAGATGTTTTTACATCTTGACAGTCGAGAATAAAATACGATTTCTGTGTGTGTGTGTGAGATATCCTTTATAGTAAGCCTTAGCCGCCACTATCGCGGACCAAATTCTCATCTCATCCCCTCCCACACCTCCTACTAGACTGTTCTTTTATTTTTTCCTCTAAATTCCTTATCAGAAGCCGAGTAAGAGGATGTTTCTACATCTTGACACTCTAGAATAAAATACGATCTTCGTCGTCGAGTAGATCGCAAAAAAAAAAAAAAAAAAAAAAAAGGGGGGGGGACCCGTTCTTCCATCTCGACGGTCCCTATAATCAGAAAGTTGTTTTGAATATTCTTTCATACAAACACTACTACTTCTACTATCTAAATGTGTGTTTACCAATAAGATGATGGGAATTGTTGAATTGGGTGTCTGTGGTGAATGATTATCTTGCACGAAATGGTATTTGAATATGCCATTATGTATCTTATTCATATCATTTATAATTTGTCATTTTTTAAGAGATTTATTTTCGTATAGTCACCGAACCTATGTTGAAATTATTATACTATGCCCTGTTTTTATATTTTAATAAAACCAAAAGTCATATATTGTATACAAGATTTAAATTCGAACTCTAATTGACAGATGAACATTAAATACTCACATCAACGCAAAGCAAATTTGAAATTATTAATTTCAGCATACTTTTTTTCCCTTCTTCCCTTGAATATATTTTGTGCAAATTTTCAACGTTTCATGTATTGTAGCTCACACGATATAACAAGTGTTATGCATTGTCGTGACTGAAATAAGCATATCCCTTGTTGAAGTGTTTTCAAATTACTGTATTAATTGATTTCATGACTTTTTGCAGAGTAAAAATTTTGTTAATTAGGTCAGTAATTTTAATTTGTAGCGGTTTTAATCATATTGTTTTTTTCAGCAGAATAATAAAGTAATAGTTCTATACTTATTGTCTGTTAATATGAACTAATCAAATCAATTATTAATTATTCTAAAGGCAATAATGACATTTGCTGATGGAAATATATTTCAGTGCAGTTGAGTAGGAAACAATATGACATAATATTTAGAATATATTGGATGAGATTTGTAATTACCGTACTTTAAGCATTATTAAGTGCTTTATTTCACTTTTATAATTTATTTAAGCCATCTGTTGAAGCTTGCAGTTTGAATGCAAAAGTATTGTGTATTATTATGTTTATTTATAGAAAAAATATAGCTTTGTTACATTAATTTTATACAGTAAGACCCCACTTAAGCTTAAGGCGAAGGATACATTCTATCAAAGTAGAGCGTAATGCGAAACAGTGCTAAACGAGGCTATCTTAACATGTAAATAATGGGGTTAGGGGAAAATGGACAAAAATTTGGTTAGGTATTAAATTTAATAATGTTTTTTCTAATAAAAGTAAAATCAAACATTTATTTCTTACAAAAATAAAAATAATATAAACATATACTTTTAAAATTCAATAAAATTCTCAGTCAGATCATTCAGTCTATTCTGGGTTTCCAATTTCTGCCTTTTTGTCAAGAAGGCATTATGATAGATTGGCTTAATGGCATATTGCGTTCAATTTCGTCGTCAATCCATATAGACAGTCGTTTTTCCATTTCCTCTATAATGTTATTTCTAGAACGGGTAATTCTAGTTGCTGAGTAGTTGCAGTTGCCGATGACAGTATTTTTTCTTTATTCTTAAGAATTGTCCTTATTGTTGAAGTTGCCAAAATCAATGCAGCAGCACTAATTTGAGATTGACGTTCACCAGAATCTAATCTTCTAATCACTTGCATTTGAGTTTCCAGTGAAATGCTTTTTCTGGTTGCTTTCTTTTCTTGTTTTTTATTATCACCCATGATAAAAACTAAAGATCATAATATTTGTCACTGTATTAATCGTTATAGTAATATATAAATTTAATACTTACAATAATGTCAACAAATGTTTCAAATGATAAAAATGCGTCTGTACTGCACCAAACAAGAAACAACACTGTTTCCGGATATGTTATTTGGAAACCTAGCGGTGCGCACAATTTCGGGGAATCCCCAGGTTGAAATAAAAGCGCTAAACGAAACAGAGTTAAGCAGGGTCTTACTGTACATGTTTTGTCAGTATTTTCTCTTATGAGTTAGTGATTACTTTATGAGAATGTAAAGCAATATAGACTGTAGTATTTTAAATTTACAGTTATCATCTAGTGTGATTTAAATTCAGAAGAAATCTTTGTATAGGCTATAGCTAAATTAATTGGGTACTGTTTGGTTTCGAGGGCAGTAAAAAATCGCCAAACTATTGTTGATGCCAATGCTGCCAATAATAATTGCGACAAGAAAGGAAGGATAATAGTAAATAACAATTTAAGATTGATGTTTTAATTTAGATGAAAGATTAATTTCATATAATACGTTTTTATTATTATAATTTATATGAAAAAGGCTAGATCATTATTATAATTTATATAAAAATAAACATAACTGAATGTATGCCTGCATCGCTATTTCGCTACTGACTTATCGCTAAAGCATAATTTCATCTCGTTGGTTGTTCAAACGTAATTTTCTATAATGAATGATGCCTTTTCTTTGAAAATAATCTTGGTAAAGTGCAGAATTGCTCACTTATTTTTTGCCGCGTCGATGTGCACATAGATAAAGGCAAGGGTGTGCGCAGTGCCATTTCGTGCAATTCTAGGATTTTTTTTAAGTCAAAATAGGTTGATGTGCACATGAATACCATATGTGCAATTCTTAAAAACGCGTCAAGCAGTGGGTGATTCTGCCACTTTGCCCAAAATTCTATTGCCGACTTTTCGTCATGGGCAGTTCCCAAATTGTTAAATCCATAGGATATCAAAAAAGGATTTAAAAATGAAACTAGTATTTCAATGGCGTCTTAAGAAATATAGAACTATATAAACTTACACAATTTGAAATCAGCGCGTACGCTAGATTTGGCGTGCTGTTAAATGGGTGCGTTTGCTAGATTTGGCGGTGTGCGCATACATTTTCGCTGCAATTTTTTTATGGCCCTCGAAACCGAATAGTACCATTAATTGTAATGCCGTATTTATTCATGTAGTTTCAGCTACTGAATTTTCCCTTTTGAAAATCAAGAGGGCAAGATAACATGTTTTTTGTAATTTCTAAGGAGACGTGTGAAAGGAAGAATTTGGTAGATTTAAGAGTGTATGCATATAAAAATATTTTCTAAGAAGTCAGTTACAATTATTGCTTTCAATATTGTTAATTTTAATTACTATGTGATGTGTTATCTATAATGCTTTAAATTTTGCTATCACAGAAAAGTTTCTGGATAATATAAAAAAAAAAAAAGTATGCAAATAAATGTAGTACAGTGCAAAGTCCGTAATCCGGACTCGTCGAAACTTCTGTGATTCTGGATTAGGAATTTTTCCAGATTATAGATCATCAATTTAAATCTGGTAAGATGGCATGCAGAAATTATACAATTAAAAATAAGAATCGTAATTTATGAAATAAAGAACAATTATTATCTAAAGGGTATCAAAATTTACAAAAAAAAAAAAAAAAAAAAAAAAAAAAAGCTTAATATTTATTTGTTTACTTTATTAAACATTTCTTTCAATGTAAGTTCTTTAAGCCCACAAAAAGTTCCTTTTTCTTGTGTCATATATAGTGGACTTTCCAATGCCACACTTTTGAGATGGATAGGCCTTTATCCATTTTTTGTTGCAATTCCACTTTTTGTTTAATGGACATCAAAACATGCTTTCGTTTTGTAGATCCTTTGGCAGCTCCAGAATTGGAAACTCTTTTTGACATAATCGAAAGTTCAAGCTTAATTTTTATAAAATTGTTCTAACAGTCTGCAAAAAATAATAAGCCAGATCCAAATAGAAGATTAAGGAACAGCACAATCTGCAACATTAACTGAAATGCCTTAGATAATTTTAGCCTAGCTCATATCGTCCGTTGTACAATAAACGCATTATGCGTTTATGCATGCGCATAAAGTTTGTAGCTTTGAGGTCCGGATTATAGACTTTGTACTGTATATACTCATGTTTGTTAGAAGGTACTTTCTGGAATAATTTGATGATGACAAATATTTGTCTCAGTTTTTAAAAAAATTCTTGTTAAACTTTCAAGAATAACAGAAAATGAATGATCTGTTTAACAACAGTATGCAGTTATTAAATTTAAGTCTTTATTTCATTCATATATTGTTCTTTACTTATACTCTTTATAAATGCTGTAATTACATATGCTTTTAAAATAATTTATATGTTAAAAAAATTAATATTCTTTTAATTTTGCATAGATTAGGGGTTGAAGGAGCCAAAGTGATGTTTGAAGGTAAAAGGAATAAATGGGAATTTCAAGGGTTTCGTGATGTCTGAAGTGTATGTTCAAGTATTGTACGATTTCAATTATTTAACTGATGATGGGAGTGAAGTCAAGATGAAAGCAGGAGAAGAATTATTATTGGTTAAAAAAGCTAATGAAAATTGGTGGCAAGTCATCAGGGACTGTGATGAATATCCATTTTATGCTCCATCAAATTATTTGAGTGTAATTGGTTTAAACTGTAAAGAAACTATAGAATCAACTGATGTAAATTCAAATTTTTCACACAAAAATGCTGCAGAAACGGATAGTCAGAATAATATGACTGTAGCATCAAAATTCACCAGAGCTGCTTCAAGGTCATTATACAAACTCAAATCTTTCAAAAGTAAGGAAAGTGACATGCATATTAAAACGCGTCATTATAAAGCAAAAGAAAATGAAGTTGCAGAAGTTCTATCATTTCGAAATCCTCTTTGTGCTGAGGAATTTTCAAGCTCTGATGTTGATAACTCTGACGAATTCCAAGAACATGTGCCTTTTACGAATGAGCTTACATCAGGCAAAACGGCAGATGCTCAAAAACCAAAGACTAGTGATAAAACTTTTGCTCAAGTAAGTAAATTTTTCTGTAAGAGCTCCATGGTGATTTTTTTTTTTTAAAATTCCTATTCATCTTTCAGTTCTTGCTTTTTGTCTAATAACTCTTTTGTGGGTTTTACAGAATTTATTCTGTGTTCATTAATTATGAATGTAGTTTATGTACACATGTTAAAAGTAGTATAAAAATGCGAGTCTGAATCTTCAACTTATTGTGTACAAACCGCTACATGGGAAGCCCTCGTCTGGCTTTTAAATGTACCGTAAAAATGCCTAAATGGAACACCAACATTAAATTTAAAACATGCAACAGAATTTTACTCTGCAGAACATCTTTATGGGAAAAAAAAAATCAATAAAAATGTATTATCACGTATTAAAAAAATTACAATGAAATAAGCATTATCCTTTGATACAGTACAAAGTCTATAATCCGGATATCCATTATCCGTAATGGTCTATAATCCGGACCTCAAACCCACAAAAGCATTTACGCATGCGCTTTTAATGCATGCGTCCGCTACGCACGCGCATAAAGCATTTACTCATGCGCACTTCCAATAGTGAAGAAAGTGACAGGTTATTGAAAATGAAAAATTGAAAAAATTTCTTTGTAATTGACAAAATTAGTGAAATGTCTCGATTCTATAGCAATTAAACAATTAACAAAAAACTTTGTAACTTTACAAGAAACTTTATAACAAATTATTCGAAAGTTTATAGCAAGTAAAAAAGAAAAGTTTTAGCAACTTAATAAACTTTGTAAGGTTTAATAAAGTAAAAAATAATATTAAGCTTTTTTTTTTTTTGATACACTTTAGATCATAATTGCTCTTATTTCATAAATTACGGTTTCATATTTTTAATTGTATAATTTCTGCATGCCATCTTACCAGATTTAAATTGATGATCTATAATCCGGAAAAACCCCTAATCCAGAATCACGAAAGTCCGGATTACGGACTTTGTACTGTACAAATATTAATTATCCTAATAAATAAATTAATCAACTTCCCGTTGCAAAATCTTAAGAGTTCAAAGGGTATAAAGGAAGTGAAGAAATTTGTTTCCTAAAAAATCATGCAAAACTTTTTATATAATAACTATTATATATAATTAAAACATAATATAAAAAAAATACAATGAAATAAGCAATAAATCTCATATTTTCAAGAGAAAACAGTCAGAAGTCCAGTATCCAAAGCAATGAATGAAAAACTGTTGCCAAAACCACATTTCTAAAAGAAAAAAAAACTATCAGATAGCAATAACCAGTGAAAATTCTGCTTTGTGGATGACATAACTCAAAATATACAAACCTCTTTGCCATTACCTAATAAAGAGAGAGAGAGGGAAAAAAGGAAATTCCTTCTGTTGTGCCTGGCGAGACGCATGTCAGAATAAGAAGATTGCGATGTGCATGATGCATGTCCAAAATTCAAAAGAAAATAAGCAGCATGAAGAAGCAATATCCTATAATACAAATATTAATTATCCTAATAAATAAATTAATCAACTTCCCATTGAAAAAAAAAAAAAAAAAAAAACCCTCATTCTAAACTTTTCAGTATCTTAAAAACAGTGAAATAAGCAGTAAATATTTTATCTCATATTTTGAACATTTGGCAGTCCAGTATACAAAGCGTTGAATAAAAAACTGTTGCTGAAACCACATTTCTAAAAGAATGAAACTATTCAGAATGATTCGATTTCATCAAAAAAGATAAAATAATTCAAAATAATTAAAAAAAAAAAAAACTGGGCTAATCTTTGGAATATGGTAACAGGTAGTTTGGCGACATTTTGGTAAGGCAATAAAGGTTACTAGCTAGGACTTTAGCAGTGTACATGGATAAAGTCAAAAGTGTGCGCAATGCCATTTTTGTGCAATTCTGGGATGTTTTTTTAAGTGAAAATACGTCGACGTGTACATGGATGATACCGTGTATGTGCAATTCTTAAAAACGCCGCAAGCAGTGGGCGATTTTGCACTTTGTCCCAATTTCGCACCTAATTTTCGTCATGATTAAGCACTTTTGTTCCATAAAAGTTCTAGCATAAGCGTAATTCGGCTAGCAGATTGTTGTAATAAAAGTTGAGTAAAAAAAATTTGCCTTTACTTCGTGAAAACAAAATGTCGTCCAAACAAAAACTAGCAGGTTGCTGTAGCAGGGTTGGTCGCCAAATTTTCGCCAAAAAATCGTAAAGTTACCATAATCCAAAGATTAAACAAAAACAGATTCGGATTTTGAAAAAATCGCTTTGAGGTGCACTCCCTCTTGTCTAGATGCAGCTATGTACCAAATTTCATAGCTCTGGGTCTATTAGCTTATGTGCAGCATGAACAAAAGACACACACACAGACAGGCTCTTATTATATGTAGAGTTTTCTAAACCACTGAAAGTTAGTGATAAAAGGTATGTGATTAAAAATAATCTGACAAAAATATTTAGGTAGGTAGAGGGGACTGAAATAAGCAGCTACTCAAAGGAGATACAAAGAATGATTCCCAAGTAGCTGCTGCATTTTCGTTTGCAATCCTACTGATGAAATGCGTGTTTGCAATGCTGTTTTCTGTAATAATGCATACTGCTTTAAATCCATACGAATGATCATTTATGTCAGAATGTTTTTACTTGCTACTTGGCAGTGCTTTGTACCACCTGAACATTCCATTTCTGTATGCAAATTCCATTATAAAATATATTTCGGACCCCTGTATTTGCCTTTACACATTTTGCAAATATTTTTATATCATCTCGTGTGATTTCACGTTACTTGTGATGTTCAAAAAAGGGCAATAAGAAAAGATTTGAGATATGGTTTGTGGCTGAGCTATATGCAAGGGTGTCATGAACAGGAATGGAGTTATTGATCCATGTTCTTGGCTTCGAAATGAAAACTAGAAATTTTTTAAGGTTGACCTTTACAATATGGTAACTGGTAGTTTGGCGACATTTTGGAGGCGATAAAGGTTACTACCTGGGACTTTGGTAATAATGTGAGCAGTACTCAGTTCCGATTACGCATTATTTTGTGTAAATTTTGCAATTTTTGTTGCAGAAGAATTGGCGCGGCACGCAATGAACTGGAAGTTGATCTGTCAGCACTATCCTTCTCTTCAGGGCAGATGTTTTTATTTTATTTGGCTTATAATTCCTTACTAAATGTAGTATTTCATCTCGATGTACTCCGTCTTTGATATGATTTAAATCAAATTCCTCGTCATTAGAAATATCACGAATACTCATCAAATAGTTTTCTTGTTTCAATTTTCTAATTTTGACTATGCATAATGTATGCTTTACGCATGTGCGCGTTAAAGAAATGTTTAATAAAGTAAACTAATAAATATTAAGCTTTTTTTTTTTTGTAAAATTTTGATACCCTTTAGATCATAATTTCTCTTTATTTCATAAATTACTATTTCATATCTTTAATTTTATAATTTCTGCATGCCATCTTACCAGATTTAAACTGATATCTATAATCCGGAAAAACCGATAATCCGGAATCGCCGAAGTCCTGACGAGTCTGGATTAAAGACGTCTGACTGTAGTAATAATCAGCCAAAAGGAATACTTTTGTTTCATTTAAAGTGGAACAAACAGCTTTTTTACTTACTTGTATTTTACTCATCTGAAACACTGCTATATTACTAATTAATTCAAATACATACTATATAATGTATATGCTATGGTTGAAGTAATAAATCTGGCTAATATTAATAATCAGTGTTTATCATTAATAATAACAACATTTTTTTGGTTAATGTGATAAATAATACATATTAATCACATTAACCAGTTATTATTAATAATTGCCAATGAAATTCAGTCAGTCTGATTAATTAGGCATAATTTATTGAAACTTCAACATAATTTTTATATGTCCAAGTGCTGTGATAATAAATCTGTCAGTATAGACATTTGGAGAGTTTAAAAAAAAAATAAATAAATAAAGGCTTACCTGAAATACAGATATTTGCTTATGTTTTAATTTAAAATTATTGCTTTTGAAAGTTCAATTTATATATATATATATCATCATATCTATTGATGAATGACAGTTTTTGAAATCTTGATTTCATAAATTTCAACATCACTTCCACAAATACAAATTTAAATAATTGTATAAAATTCTTAACAACTCATGGATTGATTCAGTGTATTTACTTTAGTAGAATATATTACAGCAAAACTCCACATGAATAAAATTAAACATCCGTATTACAGTGTTTTTCACCACATTCAAAAATTTTTCCACCTCATGCAGAATGCCACAGCAACAAATTATTTAGCAGGACGTGCTACTGTGACACACACCTTTTGGCAGGACGAGCTACTGTGACATTTTGAGTTACAAAGTTTTTTTGACTTTTAACATTTGCAGCGGCTTGAGTAGCATTTGCTTCTACAATTGCAGCACTTAAATCCTTGACCACCTAAGTGGGAATGCTGAAGAACATATTCTGTGTGACTTATTTAATTTATTTGAACTTCGTTCACTGAAATAAATGCTTCCTTGCAGACAGTAAAATCATTCCTTATATACAGTTGTTTTAAAATTCCATGTTTTGTACGACGCTTATGTATGCTTCATTTTCATTAGAAATTATGACAGCTATAACATTCCGGTTATAAACTTTACCTCTGTCTCTGGCATTCTTTCTTATCTGTACGTTTTCTTCTACATTCGCTTTCAGAAATTTTAACTAAGACAGACGCAACCTTTTTTTGCTTGTTTATTTAGTGACTGCTTAGCAGAGAGTTGAGCTTCTTGAATTTTCTCTGAGACTCCATGCAGTGCAAGAGAAGAGCTTTCTATGTTGTATTCGCAATCTTCCATTTTCTTTTTTAGTATCATGTTGTTCCCAATCAATTCTGCCAAAACTCTCATTTCTATTTCCAACTAAATCTGCAATAGTTATTACTTCCAAGTTTTCACTCGAATGACCCAATCGCACTTCCATATTCCCATCATTCATTGTGCCTGTATCCTCATTGTTGGTTGATATTGCTGCCTGATATTGGGCATCATTACCAGACTGGTTTCTTATTACAATAAAATATTATTCACTTTTAATTCCTGTCAAGGTGTCGTTTAATAAGTAAGTTTTTAAACCTGTTTTTGCTCTACAGCCAACATAGCTTCATATGGACTGTAATCTACTTCAGAGTGATGTGCTTAGTTTTTCATGAATTGAATTAATTTTATTCCTTTCGACCACTTGGCTGTATTGCTTTTTTCAAGTGGATAACATCTTTTCAGTGTCTGCTGGCTCGTTTCAACTGAGCCTTGTGACTGACTATGTCTTAACTTTCCATGAATAATTTTGACTTCATTCCATATTCAACAAACTTCTTCAATAATTTTATTGACAAATTTTTGGCTGTTGTCACTTTGAGAGATGCACACTTCACAAGATATCATGAACAGATCCAAGAGGTGATCAGCAACCTCCTCGGCTCTCTTTTTTTTTAATGCTTTTAATTAAAAAAAATGGTCTTGATAAACCATTAAAAGGTCTCCATCTACTTGTGATTGAATGTTACTGAGGTCAACTTGACACCTTCAATTAAATTCACTGCTTTTTAATTGGTTTAACAACAAGGCCTTTTCATTTCTTTTGACGGGGTCTGCAAAGATTCAAATAAATCAGTACTATTGTAATATTCTTATATTTGGCCCTAACTTCTCTAATCATTCTTTTTTGCACAAAATGCAATATGAATCTTATGGATTATTTGAAAATTCTCTTCCATACAAGTATAATAAACAATCGATTCTTTTTTATTTTGCACTGGAACAATGAGTTTCTCAACACTACCAATTTTAACAGTATCGTATCTTGATACCCTTTGATATTCTTCTGCTGTTTTACCAGAAATCTTCTCTTTGCTTTCCTTAACTATTGCAATAAAAGAATAATACTTGTAAAATTGTACTTCTTGTAAATAACTGATGGTTTTTGCCTTTTTGCGATTTGAGCTTGTCCAAATAATCGGTAAAACATGACTTCATGAGTCCTAAATCATCCTCCGTTCTGCTTAAATTACAGTAAAATTTGAGAAATTACAGTAAAATCATAGAAGAACAATACACATGCCAAAACCTGACAAATTTACATTAACTGGCAACTACGTAAAAAGAATCAAAACCGTCAAGCACAAAGTATTTACACAACAAATTAATAATGCGCACAAAGTGCGGGCATCTACATCCAAAGTAAACTAGCAACTGACATTGTCTAGGTGTTTTGCGAAGGAAATTACCATTTCGCATGCATATTGGAAATGTCTAGCCAAATACAGTAAAGTTTGGTCAATGAAAATTATTACATTGACCAAACTTCATTCGTAATTATGGTAGAAGTCCAGAAATTGGCAAAGCTTGAGACCAGAGGTTGTGCGGGTTTCAGGACAGAAAAGATAAATCATAATATTCAGACTAAAAGTGAAAAATAAATAAG